AAAAAAAAAAAAAGAAAGTCAGTGAGAACAGCAAGTTTGTCAGCTAGGTTATGGAGGTGACTCTGGGAGGGCAGAGATGGTATGTGGAAGCACAGGCTGGGACCCTACCCACATGACGCCTGTTCCCTGACACCCCATTCTCCTCTCCTTCTGGGACTGATAGAGACACACACGCTGGCCTCCAGGAGTTTCACACACACAGAACGGTGTGTGTCACCTCCAGGAAGGAGGCTTTCCAATGCTGCTGCTCACGTCTGTGCCAGCTTTGTCTCTGCTATGCTGTGGGGAAACCGCATTCCTGGGACGCACAGACCACGCCAGCCCCGTGCTCAGCTCAGCATCCCTGACAGGTGTCTAGACATGCCGTGGACTATCACACGGGGGAAAAAGAAAGGCAGGTAGGGACCTGTCATCGAGGGACAGCTGCAGCACCCACGGCGCACAGGGTGGAGGGCCAGCAAGGGCTCAGCTCCCCCAGCCCCCCAGTCTCCATGGGCTCACAGGGGCTACTTCTGTAACATTTCCATGGCCAGAGGCAAAATGTCAAGCTTTACGGTAGTGTGTCTCAGACCTTTTGTCTGAAAGCTGAGCACCCAAAGTGTTGGCTTACGTGGTTGTACCCATAGACCTTGACCCAACTGGAGATGAAGAGCCTATTTGACACATGCACACATGTGCCCAGACAACACAGTGGCTGCTGCCACAGCACTGACCTCTGCAGGAGCCCACCTGCAGGACGTCCCAGGAAACAAAGGCACTCAACTCTGGGACTCTGGGTGCCACTGGTGTTTGAAGGACTTGCCAGCCATGCCATTTCTGTTTCTGCCCACAGTGAGATGACTGCCAGAGACATCAACTTGCCTGTCTGTTCACACACTCACACTCACGTGCACACACACACATACATGCATCACATACATACACACGCACTGCACATACCCATGCACACATATAGACACACTCACTTACCATGTGCACAATTTATACACATACCACACCAAATACACACATGCTACACACACACAGACATACAGAATTTGTACACATGCCACATACACATACAAACCACATATATCACACTACCATATACACACACTCCCACACATATACTTTAAACACATGCACCACATGCACACACCCACACTTACACACAATGACACACACCCCCACATGACCACATACATATACACACCCCCCACATACAGATTTTATTATGAGTCTGTTATAGGCATTATAAAATACATACAATGAGATATTAAAATGACAAGATAAAAAGTAAATGTAAAGTGCAAGTAATAGTCCCTGCCCAGTGGGGTGCCCTAAGCACGGAGCTCCTGGAGGTCACTCAGGCCACATGCAGGACACTGGCCCAAGCGCTGGCCTTGAGAACAGGCACTCCCATGCAACCACACCAAGTGCTGGCCATGCCTCGTCATGGGCCCTGGGCAACTTGACCACCTGGGGTGCATGGGAGGGAGGCCACAGGCCGCACACGGCCCTGGCACAGGCTCACAGTGTATGGATACTGCACTAGCACTTTCACTCAAAGCCCTCAAGCTGTCAGTGACACAAAATAGTGGAAGCTTCTAGAAATTCAAAGACTATACCTATTAAAATATGACTGGGCAAAATATAGCCCCACCAAGGGGAAAGTGGACAGAGGAAGGAAGGTCTGCAGCCAGACCTGCATGTCCACCTGCAGGCAGGAGGCTCTGAGCACTGCCTGGAACTAGACAAGCCAGACCCAGCTGGCCCTGCCACAGGTCAGCTCAGATCACCTAAGCCTCGGCATATGGCTTCCTACCCAAGGACAAGAGCCAATACATCTCCAGGACAAGACCACCACAGCCAGGGGCCAACACAGGGGCCACCGCTGCTGTTACTGTCAGCCTCACGTCACGTGCTGGCCTGTTGCCTGGACCACTTGACTGAGGTCGACCACTGCAGTGCCACCGCCAACACTGTCAGCACCTACCCAGCATCTCAGAGTCACAAGAAAGGGCCTAAGGCACCCGCCCTGGGTGGAAACAGACCCTCTACTGTGATCAGCCTATCCATTACCAACTCTGGAAGGGAAAAACCACTCAGCTCCTTGCTGATGTTCATGGACACGTTCCTGGAAACTTCCGCAGACTGGCCAGAAGAACTGGGAGGTGTTAAACCTGTGAGGGCTCAAGCTCTCCAGACAACCGTGCAGAGGAACTGACCAGATGAACATGGCTGTCGGCGCAGCTAGGCTGGGCCGCCTCCCTGATGCCCTGCGCACACCTCCAGGACAACCCTGCCTTTCTGCACATGGGGGCAATCCACACACAGTACCCTCGAGCAGATCAGAGCAGACCCAGAGGTCCCCTGAAATCATGCCTGGGGTTGAGTCAAAGTCACCAGCCACACTGCAGTTCCAGTTACGAGGTTTTGGGTGGATTTGGTCTCTTCATGAGCCAGAGAGACTTGGAGAGTCAAAGAGCAGCAATGAAGCAGACAGCACAATTCAGAGGGATGTCCCTGATCTTGACTTTGACCTTGACGTTGAGTGGGAAGAGAGAAGGGCTGCTCTCTCTGAGGCTGCTGCCATACTTCAGAGCAGGCCTCCAGCTCTCAGCAGGAAATTTGCAAGCACCACTCCTGTTCTATTTCACTGAACAGGCAGGACCCAGCTGACCCCAGCTTGTTTGCAGCACTGAAGCCCAGGACTCAGGGCAGAATTCACAGCAGGCTCTTCCTGCCCCTTGCTGGTTTCCTTTCAGGCATTGAGGTCCCCACATCCTGGGGCTAAAACAATCACACCACCCAAAATCCAGTTGGTGTCAAGCTCTGTAGGAGGGCTTCGTCGCCTGTTCTCTGGGGATCTGGGCTCGCCCCACCATGGGGAGGTCTGCACCAGAGGTCTCCCTAGGTCCTGTGACTGTGGACCTAGCCTACCTCCTGAGCCTGGTGGGATCTGAGACCAAGCTGGGGAGGGGACAGAGAGTTTTACATAGAGCAAACTGCATGGGCTTCCCAAGGAAACAGAGAAGAGGACAGTGTCCCCGGGCACCAGCCAGTGATTTCCCCAAAGGAACGCAGCAGAGTCTGCTCTGGGCTCCCCTGGCTCAGAGTCCTGCCTGCCTGACTCCAGGCAGGAGTCAAACAGGCCCTCTGCTCTGCGTGAACACCACCCAGCTCAGCAAGGTGTGGGAAGAAGGCCTGGGAGTGGCTCAGGAAGGGAGGGTCTCCCTGGCTACAGGTTCTGGGAGAGGGGCAGGGAGGGTCCAGGGGGTCAAGCTCTGGCCTCACCTCACGCACATGTCCGCCTCATACTTCTTCCCATAGAGGATCCCCAGCAGAGATGGGTTCTTGTTTCCTCTGAAGTTCAGGGTTACGTCATAGACAGCTGTGACTATGGGGAGGAGACAGAGGGTGATGATGCAGCCAGCAGGGACATAGGGCAGACAGCTCCGGAGGGTGGGCGGGAGGGGCGATCCTGGATGGGGCGGGAGTGCTTGGGCCTCTCCCATGGGTCTCCTTTCCCTTGTGCCAGTTCTCTCTTTAACGGCAGTATTCAGTCCGCCTGCATTTCACATACTCACTCACTGACGTAAGTGTGTTTAAATCTACTATCTGGCTGTTTTCTATTTGTTCTACATGTTCTCTGTCCCTTTATTTTGACTCCTTTCTAACTAGATACATTTATTTTTTTCTCTTTATTAGGTTTTCTGTTATATATTTTTTATTATGATTTTAAATATTTTCCATTAAGTAGAATTTTATCAAAATACGATGCAAGAATCTTACAACATAAGAACCCCCCTCCCCACACATACACACTTTCCTTTTGTGCTTCTGATATCCTGTGTCCAAAGTACTTATTTGTTTATTTTTATTTATTTATTTATTGGAGACAGAGTCTAAATAAACTCTGTTGTCCCAGATAGAGTGCCATGGCATCGTACTTCACAGCAACCTCAAACTCCTGAGCTCAACTCATCCTCCTGCCTCAGCCTCCTAAGTAGCTGGGACTATAGGTGCCCACCATCTGGTAAGTTTTTCTGTTTTTAGTAGAGATGGGGTCATGGTCTTGCTCAGGGCTGGTCTCAAACTCCTGAGCTCAAGTGATCCTCCTACCTTGGCCTCCCAGAGTGCTGGGATCACAGGTATGAGCCAGTGTGTCTGGCCACTTACTTTTTTTTTTTTTTTTTAACAAATTACTGCCTTCATTTTTTTGTTTCATGTGGGAATAATCTGGCCCCCATGGTGACTGAGGCTCCTACCTGTCCCCCGGAGGCACTGGACTGCTGTGGTGAAGCCCTTGGTCCGTGGCAGCAGGTGGTACTTGAGCGGGGGCAGCCCCTTGGAGGCCGCCACCTCCATGCTGACTCGGTGCTTGGTCTCCGTGAAGCGAGTGCCCTCACAGTACAGGAGGAACTAGGACATGGAACCCGGGGACAGGGGTTATCTACTGCCTGTGGCATGATTTGTAATTTTAGGGCTGCAGTGAGTACTCTAGCCATATGCGTCCCCTCACACAGAACAGACTTTCAGAGAGCAGTGACACACGATGGTATCTCTGGGCAGAAGCCTCAGATCAGAGAGTGGAAAACAGGAAAAGTCCTTTATCCACTGACCATGACATGAGTTGAAAAGGAACAAAGAATCAGGCAGAGTAGGGACGGGCAGGTGGCTGGGTTGGGTGGAGGGTGCCCCACCCACACCCTCCAGGTAGGTCTGGGTCAGAGCGGGCTTGGGTCTGTGGGGGCAGGTGGTCTATCGTTAGCCCGGGAGGATGGATAGCCCCACCCCTACTGGAAACAGTGTTCTGGGCTCAGGGGGTCGTCATGGGCCTCACACTAGTAATCAGGCTGCAGGTGTGTCAGAGGCTGAGTGTGAGGTCTAGATCCAGACCTAGCCTCCTTTCTCAGCACCTGTGCACAGGTGCCCTGGGTCCCCCGACACACTCACCCACATGTACTCAGGGTAGTCAGACAAGCGTTTCAGCCCTGCGATGACAGTGTCCCGGTCTTCCTCCCACTTCCGTTTACAGAACACGATCTCAAGAAAGTACCACGTCCAGCCGATGAGGGGCACATAGAGCAGCTCCTTCTTAGCGAGCACTTTGGAGCTCTGATGGGAGGAAGGAGAGAGGCTGGTGCTCAGTGTTAAGAGGCAGGAGGGCTTGGCCAGATTCCCCCACTACCTGCCTGATAACCCCATGTTCCCCATTCCCAAACTCCCCAGGACCTCCCTTGGCACCTGCCTGGGACCCTGTGGCTCCCCTCCCTTGGCACCTGCCTGGGACCCTGTAGCTCCCCTCCCCTGGCACTTGCCTGGGACCCTGTGGCTTCTCGCTCCTGGCACCTGTCCGGGACCCTGTAGCTCCCCTCCCCTGGCACCTGCCTGGGACCCAGTGGCTTCCCCTTCTCCTGGTACCTGCCTGGGTACCCTGTGACTCATTCCTAAGACCTGCCTGGGGACCCTGTGGCTTCCTACCCTGGCACCCACCCAGGGGCCCTCTGACTCACTCCCAAGACCTGCCCAGGGACCCTGTGGCTTCCTACCCCGGCACCCAACCAGGGGCCCTCTGGCTCACCCCCAGCACGCCAAACCGCTCACACATGGTCCACCCACAAAGGAAGTCGATTTCGAAGTTGTGGTTAAGGATGATCACCGCGTGCTCTTTCCCGAAGCGGTCCACCGTAGCCTGGTCCGTGAATAGAGTACACTCTGTGCATGACCACCACTCCAGAAGCATGACCAACTCTGTGGACAGAGGGGGTGTCAGGCCAGGTGCAAGCAGCCTCTCCTCTTGGGTGGATGGCCAGTGTCCCTGCAGGTCTTCTGGCAGGTCTGGGAGTACCCACAGGGGACATCTGCAGGATCTTCATTCCAGGTTAGCATCTCCTTCTAGAAATGAGGTCTGATGCTTGTATTTACTAAGTTTTCCAAATTACAATTGCCTCTCTAAGCGATAGTCAGGGGAGAAGGCAGACGGAAAGTGCAGAAGAAATGGGGGGAACTGTCATTCTGTGCAGAGTCTACGTGTAGTCACCAGCCCGTGGGCACGGTGCCCGACAGGCACTGCACAGCCACCAACAGAGTGAGACAGGCAGACCTGGGGAGCAGAACACACCCCTGAATGTCCACAGATTAAAATGAAAATAGTTTGTGGCAGACCATATAGCTAATGACAAGGAGAAGCAAGAGCTGAGCTCGGAACACTCTGCAATCATAGGAAACACTGGGAACAGCTCAGTAATGTAACACTTTGGTGACTAGGGCATGGAGGGATTCGGCCCTCCTAACATGAGGGCATCAGTGACTGGTAGTCTCTACACCTGTGGTGCAAGTAGCCACGGGGTCACGTCTATAAGAAGCTGCAGGAGCAGTCAGTTGGGGGGCCTGCTCATTCTTTCACGGACTCACCCTGACTTTTTTACTTCTCCTGCTCAGGTAGCTCCTGCCCGGGGCCTGTCTAAGAAGACTGTTAAGATTTACTTTCCTACTGTGTTTCCCCGAAAATAAGCCCTACCCAAAAAATAAGCCCTACCCCAATAATAAGACCTAGTGATGGCTCTTATTAGATACGCTGCATAGCCACACCATGCATTTTGGCAGGGAGCGGTAAGAAAGACTGGGATACCTTTTATCTGCCACAGCTCCTTTCTTGGAGCCATTCATTCGCACTTGCACAGGTGTGTGTGTGGTAACTGCGGTCACAGGCATCCTATTGCACACATGCAAATGGCTAGGGGAAATGGCATCACTAACGCCAGCCCCACCAACAAGGTCAGCTCCCCCGTCAGGTTCCAGAAGAAAATGACTTAATTGTATTTGAATAAATGTAGATTGTTGAATTATACTTCATAAAAATAAGATATCTCCTGAAAATAAGCCCTAGTGTGTCTTGAGAAAAAATAAATATAAGACAGTGTCTTATTTTCAGGGAATCACGGTATTAAGTCTGTTTCTATCCCTCAAAGACTGTTTCTCTCTCTCTCCCTTCTGCTAAAGCGAATAGCCCTCAGGCACCTAATGGTAATTGTTCCGGAGCTAGACAGCACAGCAGCCTGTGTCCAGAACATAGCTAGCCGGGGCCGGAGGCCTGGCCAGTCCCGGGCCCCCAACAAGTGGCACCCGACAATAGTTGATAGTGAGTGAAGGTACAGGTGGTAATTCTAAAGCTTCCGTGACCTTGGCACAATGTTATGCTCCTTTTCCATACTTAAAAACAAAAAGAAAAAGTGATTCCTTGCCTATCCCCAAGAAGGCTGTACTCTCTCTCATCTATTCACTGCTGGCCGGGAGGCTCGAGAAGCCAGGTGGTCCCCAAGACATGAGTGTGCTGTGACCACACGGTGGTGCCGGCATGTTGGGGCCACCTGGCCCTAGGGCGCTGCATTCCTGTCCCACTCAGCTGCCACCCCAGTGTGCTCAAGGAGCATTTCCCAGGGGTTGTCCACAGCTGGGACTCTATGTGCACAGACCCTCCCCAAAGCTCACACATTGGTGGGTGCTTTGAGGACAAACTGGGAACAGGCCACCGTCTGTCCCCTCTGGGTTCAAGGGATGTGTACACTCACCTCTGAGGGAACTTCAGTCTCAGGCCCATGGTAAAGAGCTCTGAGTGTCTCTGTCACATATGGGAACAGACTATAATAAGCCCCTTTCATAGGCCTGGAGGGGATGGGGAAGGTCCGGAACAGAGGGATGGGCGCTGCAGCCA